ATAAGTGCTTTTATTTCTAGTATATCCGTCTTTCTGTAGTTTCTATTCAGAGGATCAGCTTGTAGATCAATATTTATGTTTGTTTTTTTTACAATAAGTTCCAACATCTGGTTTGTTATAATACAGCCCCAAATATCAATAAAGATTAATTTCTCCCTAACATTCCCCTTTACACCTGGTAAATCCCTCATTAAATTGTCTGCTCTTGTACGCACTCGCTTATTAGCAAGATGCTTTCGCCATTTATTTTTTTTTCCTTATCAAAAAAATAGGAATTCGCCAGCAAATATTTCCTGCTTCTGTCTCATGAAAAACATCATTTTCTGCTTCTAATATATCCTGTTCACTATCTGTATCGAGATTTTTTATTTCAATTTTATCTTCTTCAGAACTATCCGCAGAATCGTTGCATTCCAATTGATCACTACTATTAACTTCCTCTAGAAGTCTCTGCAAATATTTTTGTTCCACCTCGTAGTTCATCTCTATTTCTAAAAAGTAAAAAAATATTTTTTATTCAATAAAAATACAACGCTAAAAGTTAAAATTGTTACCTTTAGTACAGCCGCAAAAGCTAACATCCGTCTCTGAGACCGAAATCTTGTGTAACGAACGAACTATGTATCTACGTTCAACAATATTTTGATAATAACAACGGTTAGGTAAAATATGAAGCTATTGAATGACGTAGCCCGAATATCGGAACAGATTTTTAATTATCGGTATGAATAGGTTAGCTCCGTCTCTGATACTATGCGTTAGCACTGAAAGGTTAATAACAGGCGGTAGCTGGTTTGTCTTTAGTTTCATGCGTGAAATACAATGATGCTACATAAAAAGTATGCTTTAATGATGCAACTATTAATGACGTACGGATAAAGAACCATGGACTCAACTGTATAATACAGATGTTCTATAAAGGGCTATTAATACGAGAAACATAATAAAGTACCAAAAGTATAATATAATAAAGTACTAAAGTAAAAAAAAATATACCTGCAGGCAACAACCACTGTTAAATTACATACTAACAGTAATCGCATAAAAATAGAACGGGGGTTAGACAAGGAGACCCAATGTCACCTAAACTTTTTAATACGGTGCTAGAACATGCTTTTAAGAATTTGGATTGGATGACAAAGGGAATAAAAATAGATGGAGAATATCTAAACAACTTACGTTTCGCCGATGATATACTTATAATAGCTGAAGATCTAGGTATGGCAAGAGAGATGGTACAGGAACTCGTTGTGGCTACAGAAAATGTAGGTTTAAATATAAATATCTCGAAAACAAAGATCATAACCAATTTGGTATCCAACCAGAACATCAGTATTGGTGGGAAAGAAATAGAACTCGTAGATAGATATAAATACCTGGGACATGAAATTATGATTGGCAGAGATAACCAGACTCATGAACTGAAGAGAAGAGTCGGCCTTGGGTGGGCAGCATTTGGAAAACTGAGAGAAACTTTTAAAAGCGAGCTGCCCACATGCCTAAAGAGAAAGGTATTTGATCAGTGCGTCCTCCCAGTCTTGACGTACGGAACAGAAACACTTACCTTAACAAAAGCAGCAGCTACCAAACTGAGAGTCAGGCAGAGAAGAATGGAGCGGTCCATGTTAGGAATAACTCTGCGAGACAGAATAACCAACGAAGACATCAGGAGAAGAACCGGAGTGACTGACATCATCGAGAAGATAGCCAGACTAAAATGGAGATGGGCAGGACACATAGCCAGAATGACAGATGGGCGATGGACAAAAAGGTTATTGGAATGGAGGCCAAGAGAAGACAAGAGAAGCGTCGGTCTACCACCTACTGACGATTTAAGAAGAATCAATAGAAATTGGATAAGAGCGGCCCAAGATAGACGGGGTTGGAAACATGAGGAAGAGGCCTATGTTCAGCAGTGGACTCTTGAGGCTGGATGATGAATAAAGTACAGAAAAATAGCGTATCTGGGGTACGTACTGAGAGGAGAAAAAGACAATTTACTACAGCTGATATTTATGGGAATTTGAAGAAAATGACAATCATGGTTTCGAAACATTCGAGAATGGACATGCATAATAAGTGCTACAACAAGTCTTGCTATAGTGCTCGCCAACGTCCAGGAGACCGCCAAAGGTACTTAAAAGAAAAAGGAGATATGAAATTTTGTTGCACGTTTAATTTTACGTAGTGTATGAAAATACCTATCCTAACATGGTTCATAACTTTTTGAAATATCTAAATATAAATAGGTATAGTATTTATAAAGTCAGTTGAAACATTTCTCTCCGACTCGATTTATAAGGGCAGTTCAATATTACATTTACCGGTAATCAAGTTAAAGTATAAATAACACGCGTCAATCTTTCAAACGTATTTGAACAATCCCCGTACTTCGTAGGAAATAGATGGAAGAAAGATACATCCCATCAAATAAATATTGGACATTGATATGTTATTCAAAATCACCAATATTTAACACGCTACTTGGAGGTCCCCTTCTAGCCGGCGTCGAAGGGTACAAATAAGAAACGCTGCCGATGCATGCCAGTGTTGTACAGCAAAAATGTTTATTATTTTACGAAGTATAATTAAATCATTATACTGTCAATATAGCCTATTGGCGACGTGCAAGTACTTGGAGGGGATACGAGAAACGATCGTGCGTGAGTAGTGGAGAAATCTTGCATCTTTTACTGCACATTTCATAGATTATAGATTTCATAAATTCATATTGTCAATTGTCATATTTCATATTCGTTTTGTTTATTTACACCTTCTGTCACTGAAGAAAATGGGATTTAGGAAATGCTGTGTTATAAATTGTAAAAATACAACAAAAAATTGTCAATTTAAGTTTTATTCGTTTCCAACTTCGAAGCGCAAAGCTACTACAAAGAGAAAAGTGGATTTATATCATAAAAAAAGCATAAGTAACATAACCTAAATTATGCATTATTCTTGCGCCCGATTTTAAAGTCAGTTTGAAATAAATAATAAATAAAAGTTCACTTTTAAGTGTAAATTTTAGTTTCATAACACTCACTTAGAGTTCATTTTAACTCAAAAATCAAGTTTAATTTTTGAATTTTATTTTCTTGAAGTTTACAAAAATGCAAGTTCAAGTTTTTCTGAAGATGCATTAAGATATATTCGCTGTCCAAAAGTTTACAGGGAAAGAATTAATTGTTCAAACCAATATGATGATATCATGGGCTTAACCTGCTAATTTATGCATTAGCATTATTTATGGTAATTTATTTTTCTTAATTCTTCCACATAATTCTTTCATTCTTTTTTGACATTTGCCACTACTAAAGCTTTTCCATTTGACTCAGTGCTTGGTTGAAAAGTTATTTGGTGATTTACTTTCTCAAATCCAGTTTTTATTATTGCATCCATATTAACAGTAATCCTGTAATTTAATAATATATTTACTTGTATTTACACTACATACAACGTTTACCTTTTAATAACATACTGACATAACCTCATCCTTACTTTTTCTTCTTATTCTTTTTTGGGGCTACGTCCTTGACAGTTATCCGGTAACCTCGATTTAACATGAAAGCGCAGTAAATTTTGCTAATTTACGACACCAGGTGTCGCTGTTCCGAACTTGCACGGTCCCAATTGCCATTTAATTATAAATTATTTTTGTTGCTTAATATGATATGTTAAAAAAATTTTTATACACTTATGTACTTTACGACAGCTTTAAGTAAATTAAAATTGTCCTTTTTCTGTTAAATGATGCGCCCATGTCTGGTAATATGATATTATTCTTTTATTGTTTGTCGGCAAGCAGGTTTTGGGTGTTTCAACTGACTTTATAAATACTATATTTAGGTTGCCTAAGTGTTATCCTCCCTGTATATCATTAAAATTAGTTAAGGTCATCGGTTCACTCCAGCGAATAACAAAAATTAGGGAATTATCACGAGTTATATTAATAACATGTTTTTCTTATTAAATTTTGGCGACTGCGCTTATGTAAATCACAATCTAAGGGTATTTTAACCTACCACGAGAGTATCTCTAACATGAGAATGTAATTATTGTCTTGAAAATCACCAAGTTTTACGAAGTACGCAATTTCAAGAATTGGCACAGTGACAAATTATCGAACGACGCAAACGTTATATTTTAGAACAGTTGTTTGTATATATGCCATAAGCCATATGCATTTTCGTTTAGACATTGACGTGAATATGTTGGGTCACTCACAGTTGATTAATTCGCCACGTTCCAAACCCGAAAATTTCTTTTGGTGAGAATACTTCCAGTAACGCTATAGTTTTATATGTTTCATAGTTGCAACATCTTTTAGTGAAACAAGCTATATATTTGTATCAGTATAATGAAAGTAACACCGATATAAAATACATGCTTTTGTACATAATATCTGTTTGCTTTTGTTGTTAGATAGATACTCACGATTGTTGATTCAAATATTGATTCAAAAAGTCCAACTTCGACACTTTTGGAGTTTAAAAATTACCCAAACAATCAGTTGAGAGGATAATATTAGAGCTGGACTAAATCGTTCCTTTTCATTAGTTCGAGTGTGTTAACTCCCTTTGCGGAATCGATTTTTTAAATTCGTTTACTTTAGTGATTTCTCGTTTCCGAATAACGTTATCCATTAGCGAATGAAAAAACTCACTTCAGTTTGTCTTATAAAAGGATTACAGTTGAATTTTAATAATATTACTTTTGACTTTTTATTTTTGCGGACCAAGGCTTTACATATTTTTTTTGTTATGATGTTTTTGTTGTTACAGTGAAATGCTTATATTTTTAATTTGCAGGCTGACATTGGTTTTTTAAATATAAATTATAAATTTAACTCTCTTTACGTTGGTCATTTTATTACATTAAAAGATTTTTACAAAACATTAAATTACTTAAGTACTTTACATGCCATGTAGCATGGATTATTTAATCACTGCTTCGCTGATTCAGTCAATATTGATCTGATTATTTGTTTTATTTTGTTACAGCAATGGTGTTAATGTGGAAGGTGCAACCCATAAACAAGTCGTTGATCTTATAAAATCAGGAGGAGATGTCTTAACCTTAACTGTCATATCCGTGACGCAACAGGTAAGAACAATATTGTACAAAATGGTAATAATGCTTTTCTTAAAATCTAAAATATACAAAAATTAATCAAAACGATAGTCTCTTCACAGAATACACCACCCAACAAGAAGCGAAAGCTTTGTTGGTACCTTTGATTTCCGTAGGATAGGATTTTCTTTTGATTTCGTCGCTTGTCGTGTTTGTTGCGTTTACTAACGATCCAAGATATGTAAATTCTTTGACTTGCTCAAAAGGTATGGTTGTTAATTTGAATTCTCTGTTGGATATTTCGAGGGTTTTTAGATACCAACATATATTTGGTTTTTTCCTCGGTTACCACATGTCCTAATTCACTTGCTGCGTCCGCAAGCCTTGTAAAACACTGCACCATGTTTCTCATACTTCTGTCCACTATAACTACATCGTCAGCGAATGCGAGAATTTTCGTCGATCTATTAAAAATGGTTCCATTCATTCCAATATTTAATTGTCTGATTGCCTTTTCCAAGGCAATATTAAAGAGGAGACACGCCAATGTGTCCCCCTGTCTTAGACCATTATTAATGTCAAAGAACTAATTTCAGAAACAACAATTTGACTAACTTAGGTGGGATCCCAAAGTCTATCATTGCATTATATAATGCAGTTTTTTTCACAGGCTGCTTTGAAGTCAATGAAGAGATGGTGTGTATCTATGTTATATTTTAGTGATTTTTCTAGAATCTGCCTATGTGCTTGAATTTGATGTGTAGTTAACTTTCCAGCAGTAAATCCGCATTGCTTTTGACCAACAATATCCTTTGTAAAATGTTCAAGTCTTTCAAATAATACATTGCCGAAGATTTTATTCGCAGATACTAACAGAGTAATGACTTTATAGTTCTTACACTCCAGTTGATCGCCCTTTTTATGCAACAGACATATTATTCCTTTCAGCCACTCTTCTGGTACCAATTCATTCCGCCATATAAGTACTATTAGTTTATGGATTGCTGCAAAAAGTTGATCACCACCTTTTTTTATACATTTCCGGACAGATTTCATCGATTCTTGGGGCTTTATTGCGTTTGAGTTTTAAAATCGCATTTGACACTTCTTCCCTTGTTGGGTCTTCACTGTGTAGCTGACGTTGTAGATTTTGATGATTTTCTATGTTGTAACCTCCCTCAATATCGTTTATATTTAGATGTTCGCTGAAATGTTGTGCCCATCTGTTAAGAACCGAGTTTTTATCATGTATAATTTCACCGTTAGTGTCTTTACAAATTTTTAATGGTGGTTTAAATTCTCGACAGTATTTAAGGATTTGTAGTATTTCCTCGTTTCATTGTTAGTGAAAGTTTTTATAAATAATAATAGTATTAGAGTTCTAAAGTTCTGTTGATAAAAAAATATCAATGAAAATACGTTTTCACTATTATCACAGATGAATAAGCCGAGGCCAGTATTACTGATAACCAAAAAAAACCTTTATCTATTACCGCCCCTGCCACTAATTTTGCTATCAAATTAGGACTATGTCAATGTGTGTAAAAAGTAGACAATAATGGACCGACAAAGTTAAAGATATAAAATACCGGGATTAAATCGATGATTTTTTTTAAATACCAAGAACTTTTTTGTTTATTACGACATAATGATTAGAATATTACCTAATTGTCCCAAATCTAGTTTCTAAAAATGCCTTCTAAAAAACCTATTGGAAAACTTGAATGAATTGATTTCCTCTTTCTTTAAATCTATTACCGGTACCCATGGTATTGAAAAACTATGTCTTCTCTTCTTAGAGTGCCGTCTCCCTACGGAGGTTAGCAATAATAATGGCTATTTTTATTTTTGAACTTGCTGCTCTAAACAAATTAATCGATCTCTATTGATACCAATCACGTATATTCTTCAACCATGAGTTCTGTCTTCGGCCAACAGATCTTCTTCCTTGAATCTTTCCCTGTATTATGAGTCTCAAAATTTCATATTTTGGTCCCCTCATCACGTGGCCTAGGTATTCCAGTTTTCTTTTTTGTATAGGTGATTAGTTCTGTTTCTTTACCAACCCTCTCAGTACTTCTTTATTTATAATTCTATCAGTCCATGATATTTTTAATACTCTGCGGTATAACCAGAGTTCAGAAGCCTCGATTCTTTTTAAATAACATTTTTTTTAAGTCCAAGTCTCAGCTCCATATAATAATATTGAAAATATACGTAGCAAATGGTACGTAGTCTGATCTCCAAATTTAGATTTTTGCACGTTAGGAGTGGCTTCATTCGTATAAATGCTGATCTGGCAATCTCTATTCGCCTTTTTATTTCTGTAGTATGATCATTGGTTTCATTGATCAAAGTTTCCAAGTGCTGATATTATTCTACTTGCTCTATCACGTTACCATTGATTGTCAATTAGGGATGTGTAGTTCACCATCGAAATAGTTCAAATGAACGATTCTTTCAACTGAACTAATTGAACTAGTTCATTAATTTTCATAGAACTAGTTCACTGCTAACGATTTGCATGATAAATTGAGTCTCAACTTCTAAAGAAGAAAATAATGAATTAATGAGATCATATATTTCAAATGCAACGGGTCGAAATACATAGTCCCTGATAGAAACAAGGGGGGTAGGAGCAGGCTTTTCTTAAGAATTATAACTGCTTTCTCTTTATCGTCTCCTGCTTGTGCTACTAGCGAAACTGATTTTAACGTTGAAGGTTGAGGTTCTTGAAATGTATTTTCTGATTTTTCCTTTCCTTGCAAAAAAAATCTGCAAAATAATGACATTTTGCAGATTTTTGTTTTTTATCGTTTTTCTCGAAATGATCCCATAAAAACATATATTTCTCATCTTTAGGGATTGACTAAGAAAATAAATTATTATAAAGAAAAACTAACTAATCATATAATAATTTAAAACATTTAAACCTAAACATACGATCGAAAGAAATGGTTCCTAATCCGAACTATTTGTACGCCGTACAGTGCTGGAAGACTGACTGAAAACCGAAGAAAACGGGCGGCCGGTGCCGAGCTTGTGTGATGATTGAGACGAGACATCTGGCAACCAGTTCTGTTAGGGTTGGATTTCGATTTCGGTCCTACAAATAGTTCTTTCGCGAACTAGTTCACTGAACTAGTTCATTTTTATGACCACTATTCATAAGCTTTCGATAAGATGTTGTAGATCTTCTATACTCGTTGCTATGATCACAGTGTCGTCTGCATATCGTAAGTTGTTAATTAATGTTCCGTTAACGGTAACTCCCGCTTTGATATTATTGAGCGTGTTTTGGAAAATTTCTTTTAAAAATAAAAAAAAAAAAAAATAAAAATTTCAGAATACAAGTTAAACAAAAGTGGCGATAAAAAACATCCCTGTCTAATTCCTCTACAGATCTTTATTTCTTCTGAGTGTTGCCCATCAATTTGAACTATGGCACGTTGGTTCCAATATAATGTTTGCACTATATTTATACCAACTGATTGGTTAAAGTCACATTTGTCACAATACCTAAGAAACATCGTCCAAAGACATGCGGTGATTATCGGACAATAAGTCTGATGAGTCACGTTTTGAAGATCTTCCTGCGAGTAATACACAGCAGAATTTACACGCTGTTAGAGAACAGAATTAGCAATACTCAATTTGGGTTTAGGAGTGGCTTGGATACAAGAGAAGCCTTGTTTAGTATACAGGTGCTAGTACAGAGATGCAGAGATATAAATCAAAATGTGTACATTTGTGCAATCGATTTTGAAATCGATTGGACGATAAAGATCTACAAATAATTACAAATCTATACTGGCAACAAGTGGCAAGAATAAAGGTTGAACAAGAACTGTCGGATGAAATAAATATAAAAAGAGAAGTGAGACAAGGCTGTATATTCTCGCCTTTACTTTTTAACTTATATTCGGAGGAAATATTTAAGGAAGCCTTATTGGAGACAACCGAAGGTATTATTCTGAATGGAGTAACTGTCAACAATATTAGATATGCCGACGATACCTTAGTCCTTGCCAATTGCGGAGAAGACCATCAAAATCTAATGAACAAAATAAAACAGACTTGTGATCAGTATGGAGTAAAACTCAACGTTAAGAAAACTAAATATATGATAGCAAACAAAATTATATACAGGATGACGGTATAAAAGTCGGAGATGCCACACTGGACAGAGTAGAGAAACTCGTGTATCTCGGCAGTAATATCATTGAGAGCTGGAATCCAACAGCAGAAATTAAAAGCCGAATAGAACAAGCCCGAGCTGCCTTTGTAAAAATGAGAAACATACTTTGCAGTCACGACCTTAGCACTGACCTTAGAGTTCGTATGACATCTTGCTACATCTTTTCTGTCCTGCTGTGTGGAGTGGAAGCGTGGACTCTAACTGAGGCTATGCTTAAACGCTTGACAGCCTTTGAGATGTGGGTATACAGACGACTACTGAAAATAAGCTGGGTCGACAGAGTTAGAAATGAGGAGGTCTTAGACGGCTGAGCCAAACAACACAACTGGTCAATGTAATAAAGAAGCGCAAGCTGGAATACTTCGGTCACATTATGAGACACCCTAAAAAATATGATCTTTTACATCTGATCATTCAGGGAAAGATCCAAGGTAATCGTGGTCCTGGTAGACGAAGAACATCATGGCTGAAAAATCTAAGGCAATGGTATGTAAAATCAACTACATCGTGATTTAGAGCTGCTGTCAATAAAGTCACGATAGCGAATATGTTAGCCAACATGATATCCCACGATCGATAACGGTCATGGAACTAGAAGAAGAAGAAGACTATATTTATGATTTTACTGTCAATATGCTTGTTCATATTCGTTTTTTGTCTTACGTTGTCGAATGCTTTTTCGTAGTCAACAAAGCACAAGTGTAGATCAACGTTTACATCCCGACATCGCTGAATCAATATGTTGATGGTACCCATTACCCTTCTCGAGTACCCATTCCATTTCGGAACCCGAGCTGCTTCTTGTTTTGTAGGGATAGTTCTAAATGCTGACTTCAGCCACTCTTGTGGTATTATTCCCGTATCGTACACCGTGTTGAATAAATCTGCCAATACGTCCAAGTTATCCTCTTCTACTAGTTTTAACAGTTCTACTGGTATTTCATCTAATCCAGCTGCCTTATTGTCTTTCGAATTTTTGATATCATATTTGATTTCATCTATCGTGATCTTCCTGCTCTCTCGAGGATTTAATTCTTGAATTTTCTGCATTTCACCTCTTTCATCTGAAAAAGTTCTCTAACGTACTCCTCCCATTGTCTTAATTTCTCTGTTAAATCTATTAGTAGTACTAATTTTTTGTCTTTTATGTGTACTTGCTGTCTATTTCGACCCATTCCAGTCACTTCTCTTATTTTTTGTGCATATTTCTCATATGGTATTTTGTTTCTAGTTCTTTTATTTCATTACATTGTTTCATCAAATAGATTTCCTTCTTTGTTTTGATTGTATTTTTCTTTATACTTCTCTAGATCTTTTTCTTTATATTTTCTTCTTTCTTCCATCTGTAATAGTATTTCTTCTGTCATCCACTGTTTTTTAGCCTCTGACTTATCTTGTATCAAACTTTCTTGAGCTGGTTTCAGTAATGTGTTTTTTTTATATTATACCACTTTTTATTTACATCCATAATTTATTTGTTGTCAGTTAGTGTTTTTTTTGCATATTAACATTCACATTATTTTTTATTTCGTTTTTTATTTCTTCGTTTTATAGCATTGTTACATTAATTTTTGGTTGTGGTTTTCTTAGTTCAATTCTTTTTAATTTTATTTTCACGTCAGCAACTGATCTCTGGGATCTGCTCCAGGATAAGCTTTAACTAAGGTTATAGAGTTTTACGTCCATGTATATGACGTCTCCGTAACATAAAGAAAAAACGATGTAGATCACTCCAAATTTAAACATAAACATTGTTTTTTTTTGTTTTTAGGAGGCTGAACGTTTGGAACCAACAGACGATAACCAAGTATATTATGATTATAGCGAAAAACGATCTTTACCAATAAGTATTCCCGATTATCACCATAATGAACGAAGTGGAGAACGATACGTCTCGTTTAATATATATATGGCCGGACGTCATCTTTGTTCTAGGAGATATAGAGAATTTGCAAAGTTGCATAATGATCTCAAAAAGGAATTTTTAGGTAAATATAATTGTTTTATCCCTATATTTTTAAAGCCTCTTCATGAGGATAGATACTTGTATTTTGTATTTGTCACTTTGTACTTACTCTTTTGTTCATTTATAGTATATATTTATAGTACTCGTATCATCTATTAAAAAACAGGAAAAGCATACACCATAGGACAAACATTAAACACAGCAGAACTGATTACATTTATAATTGATATGCCAATAGACTAGGCGGGATACATTTTCCATAGTAAGCTATTTTTTTGCTGGAATCCCTTCAGGATGTGCCCAATATCGATAATCACGATATGCGCCAGTCGCAAACCCTGTGTTAAATTTTTTATTTAACAAAATCTGAAAGCAATTGAAAATTTCTCATTTTTTTGCTCCTATTTTCGTTTATAATTCGGAAAATATTGATCCTAGAGAAAAAATTATAAGAGGTTAAAAGTTTCGTTATTCAATTTTACATAATATTTCATTAGCTAGAAATTGAAAATTTAATGTCTATTGTAGAAAAAATAGCAATAATTGAAAAAAAAAGTACAAAAAAATGAAGTTAATCCTTTAAATGTTTTCGACTTTCTAAACTTGACTTACAAGGTCCATATTTCGCCTAGAAAAACTTTTTAATATGTTTAAAACGTGTGCTAAATTTTGTTAAGATCGGTGGATAGGTTTTGCATAATAATTTTGCAATCCAGTCTACTGGAAAAAAATCGCAAATTTTTAAATTTATAGTAGGCCCTAAAAATAAGGCCCTCAGATAGTTGCAATTTTTCTTACATATAAAGGAAAGCTCAAACTTTCAATCGCCTTTTCTAAAATTCAAATCGGTTGACTAGGAGAGCCTAGAAAACTTTTCAAAGTTTTAAACATTTTTTAAGCTTATAAACAAATTGAATAACTTTATGAGCTTTAAACATATCAATTTCAAAATTTATACACTTAAAGAACATTAAAAGACGCTTCCTAAAAAAAAGATACATTCTTCTTACTGGTTGCCGACATATTGAAGGTCAAAGTTGGCATATATTTGCCGTGTAACCATAAGTGATAGAGGGCTCGTTTTTAAACAAATACCCTCGTCTTGTCAAGTACTTTTTATATGAAAATTTTACGTAATGCGCTTCAAAGAAGCGTCTTTTAATGTTATTTATTCTTATATATATTCTTATTTAGGGCCTACTATAAATTTGAAAATTTGCAATTTTTTTTCAGTAGGCTGGATTGCCACACGTTAAAACATATTAAAAAGTTTTTCTAGGCAAAATATGGAGCTTGTAAGTCAAGTTTAGAAAGTCGAAAACATTTAAAGGATTAACTTCATTTTTTTGTACTTTTTTCCAATTATTGCTATTTTTTCAACAATAAACATTAAATTTTCAATTTCTTGCTAATGAAATATTGTGTAAAATTGAATAACAAAACCTTTAACTTCTTATAATTTTTTCTCAAGGATCAATATTTTCCGAATTATAAACGAAAATAGTAGCAAAAAATGAGAAATTTTCAATTGTTTTCATTTTTTGTTAAATAAAAAATTTAGCACAGTGTTTGCGACTGGCGCATATCGTGATTATCGATATTGGGCACATCCTGAAGGGATTCCAGCAAAAAATAGCTTCCTATGGAAAATGTCCAATCCAAAACAGATCCCGCCTAGACTACAAAGATACCTGTACAGTTAGAGATGCATGAGAGAAATCTCTGATCTAAAACTTTTACCGCTGTCATTGTTGGTAATTGTTCAGTGGAAAACAGAATCTTGGATTCTCCCAGTTGTTTCTTAGTATCAATTTTATTAGGACTTCCCGTAGATTTAAAAAGAATTTAGACCGTAAAATTAAAACTTTTTAATATTTCTACGTAAAAATATAAAAATTTAATTGTATGTAGTAATGAAATAAAAATGAATTTTACAATGTGACAAATATATTAAAACATGTTTGCTCGAAATATTGAAACAGAATGTCTTTGCTGACAGGCAGGTTGATTTCTGCCAGGCATCAAAGAACCGCTTTTTGAGACCTGTTCGTTACATGATACTATACCAAACAAGATAAGTCAATCTCTCTCGCACACCTGTGACGTAAGTTCGAGACATGATGCCAAGTTAAATGCTCTATCTGTGTTCATGTTAATTATGTTGCTGTGTTAATCGAGTTTGCTATCCTGTCTACTTCAAAACGTAGTGAATGAGATTTTCATTTCTTCATTGATGTAGTAAATACTTTGTATATTGTTATATAAATTTTGTGGTGAAAATATTCAGTTTACTGTTGCTACTTTTTAAAGAAAACTAATTATTTTGTTTGCCATAACGTATTGTGTAGTAGTGGGTTGTTTAAACAATAATAATAAAAAAAAGTAAAACTTTTTCATTACAGTTAAAATTCATTACAGTAATGAAACAACGTTGCCATATGATGCATCGTTAAAATAAGATACACGCAAGTTCCTTGGCTTTGTCTCGCTATGACGTCATGCGCAAAGTCGATTAAAATTAGAATGGCAAGTGAGCATATCTTGTTTGTTATAGTATCATGCGTTCGTTATCTTCGAGACTATCCGTCACCGGGATCGATCGTTATCTTCGTGATAAGCCGTCGCCGGGATCAAATTTGGAAAACGACAGTGCCGTGGTCAGGTCTTTTAGGTTTTAACAACCATCATATTAATACATTATCTAGCCTCGAGTGATGTTAAATTCTCTTTTTCTATCCCTTAATTTTATCGCCTCTCACTCTAATTTTTCCTGATTCCTTCCCTTTTTATCGTGCCTCCCTCTAATTTTTCCTGACACACTAATTTTTCCTGACTCTCTAATTTTTCTAGTAACTGGGAGGTAAACTCCTCATATCCTTTTCCAATAATTTCTTAATTCGGGAATAAACCCAGTCCCGGAAGTAAACGCATTCACAGGAGTAAACCCACTTACAGCAGCAAGTTCTTTATACTTTGGATGTAGTATGTATAAAATGAAAAATATATTTTTTTTAAATCTAGCTTCAGAACTCTCTTCTTCGCGACGTTGCCGCTTAGTTGTCGCTTCCTGAGCTCGTTGTTCTTAATTTTGCTGAGCTTTAACTTCCCTGTTCAAGCATGCCTAGCTTCATTTCGTTCTTCATCATTATATTTTTTAGGTCTTACCATATTCGCAACCAAAATTTTATGACCAACAGACTTTCATAAGCTTTAAATTATTTTACTTAATGAATCTTAACTTTAAATTACAGTAGCCAATATTTTCGGACATTTTGCGAAAAAATTAATTACTGATGAAGTAGTAAAAATTCCTGTAAAAAAAAATAGTAAGGAATAAGCAATATAAAATTGAATAATCAATTTGTAGAATGAATTAGCAATACCTCTCCAGACTCCATAGGTTGAAATGTCAGATAAACTATCAGAATAAAAAGCAATTCTAAATTTTTGAATTATGTTATTTTCCCTTTTACAGGTTTTACGTTCCCCAAACTACCAGGAAAATGGCCCTTCACCATGAGCGAGCAACAACTAGATGCTCGTCGTCGTGGCTTGGAGCAATATTTGGAGAGAGTTTGTGCTGTAAGGGTTATAGCTGAGTCTGATATCATGCAAGAGTTCCTAACTGACCAAGATGATGAAAACAGTACGAGTCCAGTCGATCTTAAAGTATGTATATCTTTCTAGATAACATCCATTTCCTTGTAGAGAACTTTTCTACCAAAATTAGGATTCCATGCTTTTATCTATATAAGAGATACTAACGGTGAAGAGAAATGAACTAATTAATTTATATAAATACATACATATTAATATTTTGAACATTTAATAAGATTTTCAAAAAAATATGCATCATTATCTCCTTTAGCCACAAATCTTCTCCAAAATTCCTTTATACATCATTCCTCTTTATTTGTAGTCGAAAATATATTTCGTATAGATACTATTAGTACAAGATTCTACTGTAAATTTAATTTTTTATGAATAACGAGCACTTTTCAATCACGTTTTTGTAGGATTTGGTGGATATTGCCCTGGGTTTCAACGGTAAAAAAAATGTATAGTTTTTCCAAACGCTATCAAGTTTTTGATTAAATATCATTACAAAATCGGCCGATAAGTCCTTGATAGAAGACTCGTTGTTTTGTCTCATGATCAATTGGTTTTACCTGGTTAATTGGTTGAAGCAAGCTAGTTGTGTTTGGTGGCAAAAATACAACTTTCGCACATAGGTAGAGACTATTTACAGCAGGAGGAGGATAACCTGGCACATTGTCAATTATTAACATAGGTCGAAGAAGAATTTTCTGGCTGAAAAACCTTCGAGTGTTGTATAATTGTAGCTCAGTCGACCTTTTTAGGGTGCTTGTAAATAAAATACGAATGAATATAATCAACCTCCGATAGGGAAGGAATCACAAGAAAGAGCATTACTTCAAATAGGATTTGTTTGAATTGACAATGATGTTCAATCACAGAAAGGAAATGATTACCAAATTCTTCTTTATAAAGATTAAAAAAAAACCAAATTTTTTGCATTGGACTTCCAAACCGCGAGCAATTTACCTTCATTTATTCCCAGAGTTATTTTCTAGGCTCTAAGATTTTCTTGGCTATAAATTAAGATAAATTTCCATTAATTGCAATCACCAGCAAAGTCGCACCGTCACTGCCAATCGATCTTTAGCGACTTTCAAACCCAAAAAGATGAATTTACTTTAAACATTTTATTATATTTGGTGGCCTTCCCAGCTTCTTTAAATCTCTCAAAATTATCCAATCCAGCTTAGCTTGAAAGCAAACCATATTTTGTTCAACAGGACAATTTGACTCTTATATCTTATATTATAACACTGAGATGTTTATATTTGATAGCTACGCTGATTTTTTTCGTTACCTTTTATAATTGTTCGGATAGAACAAATTTCTATGCTAATCACAAATTTTAGTTTTTGCATCAAAATCTTTGATAATATCGAATTCACATTCCAAAGATATCATTTCACTTCTATTGTTTAGTTGAAATGACTCTTTGTCTTCGTTTGAATGATATGAATATTAACAAAGCTCACTGTGTACTGTGCAATTGCACACGAAACACATTCGAACCTGTTGTAAATCGATGAACAAATGCGTGTAGAGAAGGATTCACTTGTCGGCGCGGGTAAGTGTTTTAATATTACTGCATAACAATTTTTTTAATGTTGTAGGTATTATTACCCGATAGGGAAGTCGTTACAGTATCCCTAAAAAAGACTTCAAATGCTGATGAAGTATATGATGCAGTAATTAGAAAAATTGGAATGAGCAAAAAAGTATCATGTTATTTTTATTTATTTGAAATAGTCGAATATAACTTTGGTAAGTAACTAAATTATAAAGATTCTGTTATTTTACGATATACAGTAGGCCACTCTTTTATATTTTGGAAGAAAGACGACCTTATTCATTTCTTAAGGTTGATCTGCACTCATTAAAAGACAAACTACACATTAAAAAAATTAAAAAAAAATGAGAAGGTATAGGTGACCACTAGAAGTATTTTGACAAATTTTGAGCAAACTTCATGTTTTCGTTTTCGAAAAAACTGAAAAAAACTAATTTTTTTCAGGTATAAAGCGAGAAAACCAAACATACAATTTTGATAATTTTCTTACAGCATAAAGATATAATCCTAAGAAATACTTAAGAATTTTTTGAACATTTTTGAATGTACAGTTTTGCCACATTAGAAAAAAATAATATGTTCCGGCTTATAATAAAGCTACCGGTAAGAAACCGAACAAACTTTTAATAACGTATATAAAATTGTAAAAGTGGAAAATATTTGTAAACGTTGAATATTTTTTCTTAAACAAATAAAACATATCGTGAAACAAGAATTATATCTTGAACTGCTGCCATTAAATTGTGTTGTAGAGAGGTGGCTCCATCTGAAACATCGGTAATATTTATCATCTATAGATAGCATTATTTTCGGCTTCGAAACGCATCCGGTAGATCTGTGTGAACTAGTTATTTCGATTCATAAATTTTTGATAAAGTTTGTCACACCTTTTCTTTGGACGTTATGTTTATTGACTTTTTTTGTTTTTTTTTTTAGAAAGAAAGTTGCAACCGAATGAATACCCCCATAATTTATATATACAGAATTATAGTACAGCCACAAGTACGTGTTTAAGCATTAGAAAATGGCTGTTTTCCGTTGATAAGGAATATACGTTAATGAGCGATGCGCAGGCTATTTCCTACATATTCTGGCAGGTAACAAAATTATCATTATTTATCAATCCTTATTATTAAATGTAAAACCGTGAGATCGATGTATTATGAATATTTTAATGTCGATATTGACAGAATAATCCAGATGATCAATCCGCAGATGGCAATACAGTGGTACCTGTTTGTTGCTTGCATATCAAATTACTCGTATCTCAAAGCAATCTTCCCCTTTGAAATTAACTGAAATGTTTCAAAATAACGTTTGAATAAGGAAAATCTGTTTACAAGGAGAAACATTTATTTTTAAATAACAAATACATATTCTATAAGAACATAATAAAATAAAAAAGTCTTCAGTTCAATTACTTGCACATCTTGCTCATGTTTTTCTATGATTTCTCGTTTTAACTTTATAGGCATTATCTTCTTCTTCGGATCCATATATGTGAATGTACAAAAAGCAAAAAAAACGAATTTAACTTATCAAAAATGCTTAGAAAACGAGGGAAATAAGTACAGACTTGTCTGTGTGCTTATCTGAGTCTGAGGTGGGAGAAACTGTTGGATGTTGGACAAGACCCCAACATGCGGGGCGCATATTAGGGCAAAACAAAATATCGCTCGCTCGGCGGCTTGTATCTCAAAACACTCGTATATTAGGGCACTCGTATATAGAGGGAGACCATGATTGAATGCAAAAGTGTTAAAAGATTAAGAAAAACAACCTCCAGTGAATGTGTTGTTGACTATGTACGTGAAAGCTTTTGTAAACTAGCTCAAATAAATGATTTTCTTAGTACATCTGGGCGAATAGGGCACATCTGATTTAGATTTTTCGCAAATTGGTTCAAATATATGCAAAACTGTATTGTCTTTATGGGGAGCAAAATAGTATATCATTCTTTATCATAAATGTTTGTTTTTCTGTGTATGTACAAAAACCTAAGCAGCAGCAACCTTAAAGTACTATATTTTGTGATATATTTAAATAAAATAATTTATTATAATTTTTAGGCAGTAGATGAAGTAAATAGAGGTTGTATCCACGCCGGTGAACGTCTCTACCAGCTCAAAGCCCTTCAGGACAAAACTCGCGCAGCCGAATATCTCAAACTCGCCAGAGAACTTCCCGGTTACGGTGAGGTAGTATTTCCACATTGCGCTTGCGATTCTAGAAAAGACGGCCACGTGGTACTGTCGATCGGTACCATGGGAATCAAATTGCACGCGTGTCGAGAGGATGGGACACTGGAAAGTCAAGTAATATTGTTACAGTGGGATTCCTTGCGACAATGGGAGATAGACGAAGAAGGAATGGCATTCTGTCTTAAGTATAATAGGCCTGACAAAACGCCAAAATGGTTAAAAATATTTACGCCATACGTAAGTACTTTGCTTAGAATACAATTTAAATAATGAATTGTTAGTTGAGAATATATTGAATTCTTAGGTAGATAAAAGTCTTAGGTAGGCACAAACGAAGGATTTTAAAAAGATTTGTTTGATTTATCAAATTTTCTACTTTTCTGTGTCACTTGTCACTTATTGAGATGCAGGTTATTTCTCTAGCTTGGTAATTGTTGAATATTTTTGTTGCTTATGTATGTAATATTTTCTATAATTAAAAATTTTCGAACAAGGTTTTGAAAATTACGTAATAACTTTTTTAGCTGGATCATACTCAAATTCTAGTAATTTATAAACCAGACTAAGTTCTGACACTATAGCCAACTCTAAACAGCTCCAGACTTGAACCAAATATATTCTTTCAAATAATTTTCAAAATCGCTTATTTCTTTCTTATCTAATTCACAAAGGACGTTGGGGATCTAAAATATTATTGGTTTGATATGCAAAATGACAATTTATGTTTCCAAAGAAGTTTAATTTTTCAGTATAATCTCTCATGTCAACGCACTTCATCCAGTCGAGTTCCAATATCTTATCCCCTCTCTTGTGTTATGATGAAGTGCTGCAAAGTGATCATCTATGGCCGCAATGGCTTCCTGATTGGTCGAAAAGCTGGATGGTCACCGAGGAAGATGAAAGTCCGAGAGACCGAAATCTGGCGAAGAGGGTGCATATCACAGTACTTAATAGTGCATATCGCTTAATTCCCCCGTTGCCAGAACACTTGTGGAGAGGTGCATTGTTCTCATTAGAACACTTTAGTCTAAGATTAGGTCAAGTTGGTTTTTATTTTCAACATCAGATGGCGTTCTAATTTGTTTGAGAATCTCCTTCGTGTTATTGTTAGACTTATCTGTCGAACATAGCATAGACCAAAGTCCCTCGATTGATTCCTGTCAGTGACTAACGCTTTCACTTGCTTCCAACTAGTGACTTATCCCCTGGACTTCGCTTTAACTCGGTTTAAGGCAATTCAACGTCGATACTAGAATCTCTTTTTCGAGAATTCCGCTGACTTTTCATTATGTTGTTTATTAATAATAGTTTGCTTTATGGGCTTCGAGATATGGGTGTTTAGAAGATTCCTGAAAATATCTTGGACATATCACCTCACTAACGAAGCAGTATTGCTTAAAATGGGTCATGACAGAGAACTTCTTAACATTATCAAGAACCGCAAAACCAATTATCTAGGACATGTGTACCGGGGTTGACAGGATGATATCTTAAGGTTGTTCATGGAGGCAAAAAATTGAAGGAAACATAAGTCCAAGTAGATGTTTATATGGTTGAAAAACATCAGACAGTGGGCGGGTGTCGATACTCAGTCTTTATTGAGAGCCTCACGGGATAGAGAGATTTGTTAGAAGTGTTGTCAAAGCAGAGAAACTAATTCTTTGATCGTTTAAACTTGAGATTCTTTACAAACAAATATCGGTGTGCAAATTTGGATAGATTTCTATGGTTTAGTACAGCGTCCTGATGTTCCTTTGATATATTATTATACACATAAATAATTAAATAAATTTTAGAAGATTTTATATACATTAATTTTTTTTAGTATCTGTACTTGATGGACTGTTTCGAAAGGATCATGGAGGAAAGCAAATGGTTGGACACGGGCGATTGATGTCCGCTATAATCACATCTATTTCTCCTTTAACTGGTAGACTAAAACATCATCAATTATTTTATAAGTAAGAAAATAGAGTCTAAAGAATTTTTTTAGGAGTTGTACTTCCTTAAAAAACTATTATTGTGATTTGTATTATTATTATATTCTTGTTTATTTTTTTAAATGTTCTCTAGCTTTAAAAGCGCTGTTTTGTGTACATATATATCGGTGCAGTTGCAATATAATACGAGAAACTCTTCTCTGTCGCAATACTATGTATGTACAATATGGTGTATTTATTAGGTAAATAGCGTGGTTTTTGATTTTTATATACCTTTTTACAGTTTTTGCATATTTTTTTGGTGTTCTTTACGACACAAGAAATTATTTATATGAGAATTTACCGGACTCGATTGAACGCTTTGGAAAGCTTATGGAATATTTTGTTTTTTATTCTATTTTGTTAGAATTATTACACTTAACGTAAATAAATTTTATTTACCAGAAGAAATATGAATTGTGTGGAAATTAAATGATATTAATAACTCATGAAATTTTAAAGAAAAATAATACCATTAGACATAAACACTGTTTCAGCCGATGTGATATGAACAGCGAACTACAAACTTTTGTTGTACTGTTGTACAAATTGTAATATATGAATAGGCGAACTATTTCAGAAGGTGATGTAAGGCAAAAAATTATTTAGGATTAGATATATAAGAAATGAATATACAGCAGATATATGTGCAAGATATTCAGTTTAGAGCATATCAACGCAGCGTATGGAACTGATAGATAATTTTGGGTAGTATATGAGGCAACATGGTAATTCGTGTAAAACGTCTTTGACAATATCTTAACATGAGCTCGAACAGATGAAAGAACGGTTATGGATTTTGTGACGTTGTAGCGCATGGGGTGCCAATGTATAACCTAATAGCAACCAAGGTTTAACAATAAAGCTACTATTGGGTGCCAATTGTTTAATAACAAAACGACACTTGGGATACTTATTGCAATTATATTTATACACTGTCTTCTGGAGGTTTAATCTAGTCTAAAGGTAATACGTTTTCTAAATGTATCCATGTGGCTAAATGTAGGTTTCAATGGAGATGTTGATATCAACTAACAAGAATTGTAGGCTCTCTACATCCCTTTAACAATCAATTCTTAAAATATGGGTAGTTGGGGTTTCCCAACAAAAAGGAGGACAAGACGATATCTAATATATAAGAAAAACTTCAACAAGAAATCTTGTGTTATTTGACAGCATAAGTTAAATATCTTGCCTTTACATGAGGTTCCAGAAAATTCTTCTTCTTAGGATGCCTGTCCCTTCCGAACGTTGGCGATCATTCTGACTATGATGACTTTGTTGGTTGCTGTACGAAATAGCCGTGTTGAGGTCTTTCTATACCATGCTTTCAGGTTAGCAAGCCAGGATATTCTTCTTCGTCCTAGGGCCCTTTTTTTCTTCAATTTTACCTTGCAAAATGCATTGGAGTAGCTCATATCTGATTTGATTTCTCATCCAGAAAATTAATAATTATAAAAAAATAGTAGAAAATGGCAAGGTCAATAGGATTTACAAATACATATTAATTTAATTATTAAAACACATGACTAGTGTTAAAAATGAATTAAATAGACTATTCTCTCCATATATGCCTTTATTAAAGTTTAAATATAAAAAATGGGCATATAGAGGTGAGGTAGGTTAGAAATCGAAATAAAATACTCGCCCTAAGAAGACTAGTCCTAAGAACTAAAAAAAATGGATTTATAAACTAAAAAACCACTTTAAATACAGAAGATACATCCCTACGTTGATTAGTTTGAAGTAATAACTGACAATCATATATCGGAAATGCCAACATAACGTTACAAGCTTTATCGATGACTATTGGTTAATTAATATAGAACGGTAAACAATGCAGATTTTTTTATTTATAATAAATCATTGAACACTAATCAGTTTATGTAATTTACAATAAAACTGATGCAAATTTGTTGATACTGATATCGCGCAAGGAAACTGCCCAGTATTTATCTAATTAGATCTTCTGGCCAGTTTTTCTTCAGTCTTATTTCTATTACTTGTTGAATGGACAGTCTTGTGTTGGACATGTAGGTTTGTATGGTCTTCTATCTGGATATTGTGCTTTTCAGCCTTTGACCTAATTACATTTTTAGGCCGAATCACAACGAAATGTGATTCTACACTTATTGAAACATTGCTATACTGTATAAGGTGATTTTGTAGGTTTTAAACAGCATTATACAGGATCATTGGACCATGATTGCAACATCTGCGATTGTAGTTGTATCGTTATCTGTTAATAGACCCGCTGAGTAGATAAGGTACAGAAATGGACCTAGTACACTCCCCTGTGGCCGGAAACTTCTTCGTCGTATATAGTAGTACCTGATGCCATATTTTGTCGAAGGCTTATTGTGCATCGAGCAATACAGAGCCACATACATTTTATTTCCTCATGGTATTTCTCTATTTTGGATTGGTTTTCTCTAAACCCAAGATGGTGGTCGGGATTTAAGGCTTTGCATCCTTGATTTTTTTGAACAATAGTGGTATTTGTGGTAGGAGGCTTCTTGGTGTGTATGAATTTGCTTGTATAGGTGGTTTACCTGGTTTAGTAACCATGACTGTTTGGAGAAACTTTCACTGTATGAGTAAGCAACATAGTTGCAGGATACTATTATATAATGACGTAAGTAGGACTTTGTAGCCTTTCGAGGTAAATGTTTTAGTACTGTTCCTATTATCAGGTGGTATCATGGAGTTTTGGTGTGGATTAATATATTTAACCATTTGCATTACTTCAGATGTCTTCATTCAGTCCATTGGGAGTTCCATTTGGCAGCGACTGTTCAGATATTCTAGAATTTCTTCATTATCTTTGTCTGCATGTGATGGAAGTGGAGTTAAAACTTAAACTAGATATTCAGCAAATATTCTCACTTTTTCCTCATTTAATCGCGCCCAGCTGTTATCCATCCTTCTTTTTGGGGTACTGTAGGTCTTTTGAATTTCTTCGTTGCTTTCCAGAAGTAGTGGTCATCTGGTGACCATAGAGCTGTGATTTACTGTAAAAAAGTCTCATTTGGAGAGTCTTGTAGGGCTGTACTTAGTATGTGTGTCATTATATTTAAGTACTTTTTGATCTAGTATGTTTCTTGATTTTTGTCATATTTTCCTAGCTTTTCTCAAATAATATTACTTTTATGTGTAAAGGACATTGAGACTGTGAGGTATTGGACAGCAGCGCCTTAGGTTTAAGGTGCTGTTTAATTCATCTTAAAATTTCTCTCAGTTTGTGTTCTATTTGTCGAGTTTAAGAATTAGGTTCTTGAAGATGGATGCATAGTTCAATATTACTATTGAATTGAAGATAAGTCAAAATTAGTTTTTATGTCACAATGATATCAGATATTCCTTTAGTTATGGCAAAATCGAGAACATCGGGAGTTTTTCGAGTATCTGAGGGCCACTAGGTCGATTCACCTGTTGATAGATAAATCATATTGTGACTAGTACTACTCAGAGTAGATTCCCATCTTTGAGAATAGTGAGTCTATGAGTAATAATTGGTATCAGATTGTAATTGTAAAATAAAATAAATTTATATAAATATATTGAACTGCATGTGTGATGGTACTCAAAAAACTTGAGTGCCACGAGATTCCATGGACCAAGTGACTAGAAAAGTAACACGAACACATTTTTAAAATTTTATAACTGTGTTATTAGAATGACACCAAAAAATTGACAGAAAATAAGATAAAAGGGGATATGTAACATCCCAGAATTAAGTTAATACAATAAACAAAAAACAAAGAAAAGAAAGTATGGAAAACAAATAAAATACCCTAAGATATTAAGGCTGCCTAATCTGATACGGCCGTAAGTGAAAAAGAAAACCAGCGAGATCGTTCGAAGTTTATAACTTTGTCATTTTTGTTAATTATTAAAAAAGATCACATGTTACGTTAAAATTTTATTTGACGTTTATTGAACAAATCTTAAGTCTAGTTGATGACGAAATTTATCACCCTATGAGATTTTGCCAATTACGTATTTCTTCTGGTATAAAAACCTAGTTTAGTTTTGTAAAAAATACTTTTTTGCTCACAGGGAATTTTGAAATTGCGTGATAGATTTGTTTTACTTTATAATAGTTCCTACGAACAGGGTTTTTTCGTCAAATATTTCATAATTTGGTTTAATTCATCTCATTCAATATTTAACCAATAAATACATTTTTCAAATGTAGTATTTTCTGCTATTAGATCTGTTATTTATATTATATGGGATTTTTATATAAAAAATTTAGACATCTGACGATATAAATATGTTAAATACATTAAACGGCTTTGGTAAAATGTAATAAAAATTAAAATTTCACTATTAACTAGTTTACCTAAATATGTATCAAGATCATTTCTTGGTATTTGATGGATGCTGATGATGTGTTAGTACTCAGTAAATAGTGAAAGGAAATTTGAACAAAGACTGGAATATTCAAAATATAACAAGGAGAAAACTGTTTAAAATTAATATGACAAAAACAGAGTATCTGGAATTTTTATAAAAATATTAATTTACTAATTTTTTGTTTAGTAGATAAACTGGCATACGATTTCTTCCCTTTTTTGTCTTAAGGAGTTCCTTTTTTTGGGTTTAAAAATTATCAATTTAAAGGTATTGCTTAGTAAATTGATTTACCAATTAATATTTGGATTAGTAACTCTAATAATTAATTAGTAAATATATTTACTAATTAATTATTGTAATTCATAAATTGATTTGCTAATTTATAATACTTTACTAATTAAATAGTAAACAGATTTACTAATTAATTATTTTAATTAATATATTTATTTACTAATTAATCGTTGTAGTAATTAGTAACTTTAGACTGTACACTGTGCATGTGAAGAAAAAAGACAAGACAAGACTTCTTCTGACAATGAAAACAGGGGAAATTGCTCGCAAAAGGTGAGCGCGGGTTTTTTGATTTGATATTCTAAGGAAAATTTCAATTGGCTGGAAATGGAATATGA